GTTTAAATGTGTCCTAATCAAATTTTTTATTCACAATAAATCGAAAGTTGAAAAGGGAATAACACAATGTTCTCAAATGCATAAGTTCACCCGTTCTATAATTACATTTGTAAATTAACTTACCCATAAAGATAATAAAATTGTAATGATAAATGCAATACTATCAGTAAATGTATTATATTCTAATTGTAAATCTAATCCTGTTTGAAATAACTCGAATTTAATAAATTGGACTAATATATTTTGATATATTTCTGAGCCAAGTAGAAGCTTATCGCCAAGTTAGTGCTTGATTTTAATAAATTGCATCCCTCACATGTCAATGTAGAGAGAGATCTACCTACAAACGTTATCAACTAGCAGCGCAATCAGCATACTGCTAGGGGTGGGGGTTAAAATTGAGGCAATTACTGAGCGCAGTCCACCATTGCCCGATCCCACTGACACCTTGCAGGTGCATCATCATCTGCCTGGGTTGGAAACATCTGCTTGGTTTGCTTAGGGATGGGAAAGTGAGATAAAAGAAGCAAACAAGAAAAAATGCTTATCGCAGCATTCCCCTCTATAGATGGTTTTAAAAATCGGTATATCTATTTATTTTGAAGTAGAAATTTCAAAATTATTACAAAGAAAAATCAGTCGCAGACAGAAAAAGTTCATTATATCCAACTTCCTCACTTTTTTGGTTCACTATATCCACAAAAAATAGCATTATACGTGCATAGTAAGGCATGGGACCGAACATTTCGTTCACTATATACGGGAGTTCACTATAAACCGTGTTCACTATAGCAGGGTTTGACTGTATCACACTCTGCAAAAAAAAATATATATATATATATCTACACTTATAAAACTATGACTTCTTCCCTACTTGAATTTCCATTCCTTGAATCACATTAAGAATTTTATTAAGAATTGCCATTGTCATATGATAGAAATTTGATTTTCCCTTTTATTAATTATCCCATAATAACCTGCTCATGGTAATTATTTATTATAATTATTATTTTGTTTATAATTATCATATAAATATTGTTTAATTTAAAATCTATGAGAAATAAATACTTTAATAATGATATTCTAAACAATATATTTAGCTTTTTAACAATTTCAATTACTTCTTATTATACATTGATTGCTTATGTTGTTGTTTTTTGTACAGTGAGGCTGTGAGGGAAGGTGAAGTTCCATCTGATTTAAAAAGCTCTATGGAAGCTCATAGACAAGAACTGATTGGTAACTTTTATGTCTTTCTTGGAGATTACCATGTTTCACGTAACACAAAAGTCCCCTATTTTAAAACCGTGATAAAGCCCAAGTTTTTTAAATTTTTTTTTTTTTTTAAATTTGTAAACAATCTCTTATTTTAGTATATTTTTGGTAATTCAGAGTTAAACTCTGAATTTTTTGTAGAAAATTATTTGTTCTATGATCAGATTTAAAGCAATATGGTCGCTAATTTTATTAAAACTAATGGCAATTTTATACAACTGAATGTATTGAAAAAAAAATTAGTATTTGTTTTTAAAGAAAATATTGTTTACCAGCTTTCATATAAATGTTTCCAAGGAAAATCACAATACTGTTGAAACAGATTGTAAATACATTCTAATATTACTGTAGGAAAATAACTTCTATGTTACTGAAAAACTTTTCTACTGATTGATATCATACTTACTCATTCAACCAAAAATCAAATTAATTTCTTAGCCAGGAAGATAAAAATGATTCTATTTTAAAAAATAAATATAAACTATAAATTGCTTGAAATTTTTTATATATATAAACTATCAAGTTTATTTTTGAAAGTATTTTTATTGTCAGTCTTTTAAGCTAATTTAAGCGCTATTATAATTTTCTTACTGTGCTAGTTTCATCTGTATACTAAAATATAAGAACTTTTTTTAAAGAGAGTAGATAATAGGTTTAAGTTAAAAGTAATACATCTGTGTTAACAAAAGACGATACAGTCATCACTTATCATTTTCCATTTTAATATTCAAGTGTAAAATTTTTCATTGAGTTTTGTCATTAAATTTTTTTTTTATTCATAAAACTCTTACGACTTTTAAACTATAGGTCCAATCCATATTTCGAATGATTTGATTGAGCAAAAAAAAAACTACATCTAAAACAATTTCTTATTTTTCGAAATAACTTAGTTTAAATTTCTTCATCTTTCCTCCATATCATTAAGACTGGACGTGCGAAGTCATGCAATGTTTTACCGCTTACTAAAAGGCGGATATTTGACAGTTTGGTGCTGATAAAACTTTTTTTGTTGTCTAGATTTAGACATTTTTTTTTTAATTATCTTTAGTGAATTTATTAAAATTTTATTCCATATTCTCAAGAAAACTAATACTTGCCTAGGGGTCATATATCCTCGGGCCGGGCAAGGTTGACTCAGCCTTTCATCCCTTCAGTGGGTCGATAAATGAGTACCAAGCATGCTTGGGAACTAAACACTGGGGGTTCCGCGCTCGGCTGACCACCTGACCGGAACATCTGCTCCTGCACCCCAGAGCCCAAGGTCAAGAAAACTGAGGTGGGCACAGTAGGCCTTGGCCCTCATGGGCTGTCGCGCCGCTGACTTTAGAGAGTTTAGTTAGGGGTCATATAGCAAATATTTTTAAAAATCATCCATGAATACCATAGAGATAAGAATAAGCAATCATTATAGAATTTCTTATATACAAGATTTTGCCAACATAACATTTTGTCTTAGAACCTAACGATGTAAAATTGAAAGTTTTTTATTATATGTATTTATGCTTCCCTTAGATATGTGTTTCTGATTTTTCTTTGGAATTTTGTCACTGATATTAAGTAATCTTTGGCATTTCATTTTTTTTATTTTGCTTTTAAAATATTATGTTTCATATAGATTTCGAAATTACTATAATATTTGGATTCAATTTATCTTGTCTAGATAAAATGTATGATTTTCTTTTTTTATATGGTAAATGTCAGCTTTTTTTGTTATTTGTTGTTTTCTTGTGAATTTTTGTTTCAAATATTTTATTATATGTTTAAAATTTAAATTTTTTTCCTCATTTCTCAAGCTTTAGTGTAATAAAAATGTTTTTGTTTGAATATGTTTTATGTATTTGTTTAATGTTTTGTAAATGACAAAGACACAATGTGGAATAATAATGGGAAAAGTCATTGATATTTGAAGGGATTTTAGTGATATAAATAATTAGCCACATTTTGGACTCATTTAAGATTGCATTTTTTGTTAAAACACCATATATTGCATGTAGACAATGAAATGTTAGATGTATTGTGCTGATTGCTTGTTGAAATTCCAAAAACTTGTTAATGTCTATCTGAAATCTAATCTCATGAAAAATATGTTTTTTCTCTATATTGTTTCAACCCTTTTAAATGGGTATCATAAAAAATATTTTCATTTTTCATGCTATAAATTACATATTCATATCTTTCAATTATTAATTGCATGCACTGTTTTTATCCTTAAAACATCTATCAAATGTTGATGACACTATTGGAGAATTATTTCTGGAAGAAAAACTTATTAGTGAAGAAGATATTCAAGTAAATATTTTTTATCTTAATTAAATAGTTTACATATTTTTCCTTTTTAACCTTCAGAATAAGGTTTTCTGTATACAGAGTTAAGACAATATACTTTACTTGTTCTTCTAAAGAAAAACAAAATTATTCTGAATTGGTTAAGGCAGGGCTGATTGTGCTCCGGAAAAATCCGGATTTCCGGAATTTTCGCTAACAGTGATCCGGAAGATTCCGGAGATCGAAGGTCCAGATGTTTCAAAAATTCATTGATCACAGAAGTTTCCGGAAATCAAATTTTCAAAAGTGGAACTTAAAAACACAGTTTATTTTATTTGTTTGCAAGGGAGAGCCAGAGAGATACTTTATAAGCTTATATTCATGATTGTTTTATACACACACAAGAAAAGCTCTACACAAAAAACATTAGCACCACACTTCATGACGACATGGACTGTATTTATTAAAAAAAGAGAAGTAAAAAATGTATATGTATATTAATAGCGCCATCTATTAAGTAGCAAGGCAAGGCGTGAACATTCACCCCCCGTTATTAACATTCAACAACAATCAAAAATAAAATTGAAAAAATATATTTCACAATAAAATAAGTTTAATTTGGCATAGGAAGAAGACACACTCGCGAGATGGCTTGCTTGTACTCTCCATGTTGAGTCTTAACCTTGACGACCCTGATTAAATTATCAGTACCACTAAATATCTCTACGATTCAACCCAAGGGCCATTTAAAGGTAGGCATATTATCTTCGATGAGGATCACTAAATCACCAATTTTAATATTAAACTTTTTGAACTGCCACTTATTACGTTGTTGTAAATCACTTAAATATCCTCGGTACAATAAGCTGTACTAATTTTGTCACGTTTTGCCATCTCCTGAGTGTACCTTCCTTTGGCATGGTTAGGTTAGGTTCAACAAACGAGTTCATGGATCTGCCTATCAGAAAATGAGCTGGTGTAAGAGCATTTAAATCGTGGCCGGGAGTTTAAAATTCCCTCGATTTGAATACAGACAGTTAAAAACTCTTCATACGTCAAAAATGCTTTGCCAACAACTCTCTTAAGATGGTATTTTACAGACTTTACGGCAGTCTCCCACAAGCCACCAAAAGAAGGCGCTCTCGGCGGAATGAATTTCCATTCAATACCTTCACTAGACAAGAAGGCAGAGAGCTCTTCTTCTGGCTGCTTAACAAATCTCAAAAGCTTATTAATTTCCCTATTTGCGCCAACAAAATTTTTGCCGTTATCGGAATACAATTTAGAACTCTTACCACGGCGAGCAAAAAACCTTTTAAGAGTGGCAATAAAAGCCTCCGAAGTTAGATCCGATACCATCTCTATATGAAGAGCCTTTGTTACAAAACATACAAATATACATAAATNTTAATTTAAAATCTATGAGAAATAAATACTTTAATAATGATATTCTAAACAATATATTTAGCTTTTTAACAATTTCAATTACTTCTTATTATACATTGATTGCTTATGTTGTTGTTTTTTGTACAGTGAGGCTGTGAGGGAAGGTGAAGTTCCATCTGATTTAAAAAGCTCTATGGAAGCTCATAGACAAGAACTAATTGGTAAATTTTATTTATTTCTTCTTCCTTTATTTCTTACCAAGTTTTATGTATCACCAAACTTTATCTAACTTTAATTGGGCTTTATCACCAACCAAAGAAGGTGACCTTCTTTAAAACTGTAATAAAGCCCAGTTTTCTTTTCTTTTTTTCTTATTGAATCTTAATTTTCTGTTCTATTTTAATTTGTCAAAAATTTCTTATTTTAGTATCTTTTTGGTTATTTAGAGTTAAACTCTAAATGTTTTATAAAATTCTTTGTGTAATGATCAAATTTAAAGTAATATGGTCGATAATTTTATTAAAACTAAGTGCAATTTTATACAACAAAATGAGTTGAAGATTTTTTTATTGTTTGTTTTTGAAGAAAATAATACTTACCATATTTCATATAAATGTTTCCAAGGAGAATCATAATACTGTATGAACAGAGCGTAAATAGATTCTAATATTACTATAGCAAAATAAGTTCTATGCTACTGAAAAAGGTTTCTTCTGACCTAGTTACTCGTTCAAGCAAAAATCAATTTAATTTCTTTTCCCTGGTAGAAAAAGGCTTTTATTTTAAAAAATCAATATAAACTATAAATTGCTTGGAATTTTTTTATACATAGATTATCAAGTTTATTTTTGAAAGTGTTTTTACTGTCAGTTTTTTAAGCTAATTTGAGCGCTATTATAATTTTTTTACTGTGCTAGTTTCACATTGACTAAAATATAAGAACGTTTTTTAATAAAGTAGCTGGTTTAACTTAAAAGTAATACATCTGTGTTAACAAAAGACGATACAGTCATCACTTATCATTTTCCATTTTAATATTCAAGTGTAAAATTTTTCATTGAATTTTGTCATTAAATTTTATTTTTTATTCATAAAACCCTTACAACTTTTAAACTATAGGTCCAATCCATATTTAGACTGATTTGATTGAGCATAAAAAATTACATCTAAAACAATTTCTCATTTGTCAAAATAACTGTGTTTAAATTCCTTCATCTTTCCTCCTTAACTTTGAAACCTGGCATGTGAGGTCATGTAATGTTTTACCGCCTGCTAAATGGCATATATTTGAGAGTTTGATGCCAATCAAACTTTTTTTTGTCTAGATTTTGACAATTTTTTTAGTATCTTTAGTGCATTTATTAAAATTTTATTCCATATTCTCAAGAAAACTAATACTTGCCAAGGGATCATATAGCAAATATTTTTAAAAATTATCCATGAATACCATAGAGATATGAATAAGCACCCAATGTAGCATTTCTTGTATACAAGATTTTGGCAACATAACATTTTGTCTTAAAACCTAACTATGTAAAATTGAAAGTTTGTTTTTTTATTGCATGTATTTTTTCTTTCATAGTACATGTATTTTTGCTTTTTGTTGTAGAATTACGTTGATCACTGATATTAAGTAATCTTTGACATTTTATTTACTTCATTTTGCATTTAAAATACTATATTTCATTTATATTTCTAAGTCACTGTAACATTATTTGAATTGATTTTATCTTGTCTGGATAAAATGAATGATTTTCTTTTTTTTATATGGTAAATGTTTGCTTTTTCTGTTTTAATTGTTTTCTTGTGAAGATTTTTTCAAATATTTCTTTACGTACTCACTATTAAAAGTTTTTACCTCATTTCTCATGCTTCCATGTAATAAAAATGTTTTTGTTTGAACATGTTTTATACATTTGTTTAATGTTTTGAGAATGACAAAGACACAATGTGAAATTATAATGGTAAAAATTTTTGACATTTGTAGAGATTATAGCTATATAAATAATTAACCACATTTTTAAATCATTCATTGGAGCATTTTTTGTTAAAACACCATATATCGCATGTATACAATGAAATATTCTATGTATTGTGCTGATTGCTTGTTGAAATTCAAAAAACTTGTTAATGTCTATCTAAAATCTAATCTCAGGAAAAATATGTTTTTTCACTATATTGTTTCTATTTTAAATTGTATCATAAAAAATATTTTCATTTTTTATGCTATGAATTACATATTCATATCTTTCAATTATTAATTGCATGCACTATTTTTATCTTTAGAACATCTATCAAATGTTGATGACACTATAGGAGAATTATTTCTAGAAGAAAAACCTATTAGTGAAAAAGATATTCAAGTAAATATTTTTTACCTTAATTAAATAGTTTAGGTACATATTTTACCTTTTTAACCTTCAGAATAAGGTTTTCTGTATACAGAGTTAAGACAATATATTTTACTTGTTCTGCTGAAAAAGAAAAAAATTATTCTGAATTTGTTAAGGACAAACTAGTTCATATAGGTAATACTAGTTTTGATTCGTTTTTGTAAAAAGTTCATTTTTTATATTCGTGATTAATAGTTTTTAAATGACTACTGTTGGAAAAAGTTTGCACTCATTTTTTCCTCTATATTAAAAAATTTTTGATCTATAAAAAAATATCAAAAACAATATATTAGCAGAAATTAAATTAATCCTTAATTTGTGAGGACTAAAAATAATAAATATTTATAAATGTAGCATTCATAATTGTCTTCATCTAATTGTGGATTTAAATCATTGATTTAATTAGCATACATTAAAGCATAGTTTATGTTATTTACAGAATGCCATAAGACGTTCATGCCTTCAAAGAAAATTTACTCCTGTTTACCTTGGTTCAGCATTAAAAAACAAAGGTGTTCAACCTCTATTAGATGCTGTTCTGTCTTATTTGCCTAACCCAGCTGAAGTGGAAAATTATGCATTTAAAGGTGAAGGGTAAGTTTATTAGGGTGTAAAAAGAAGTTCTTTCCTATCATTCAGAATTTACAATATTCTCTGTTGAACAATAGTTCTGTGTACTGCATTATTTAATGAAATTACTCATATGTGGGCAATTTACATTTGCTTTTAAACTTGGGACAAGAATAAAATTCAAGATAAAGTGTTGAGAAATCAAAGTTATGCCAAAACCTATGCAATTATTGCTTAAAATTACTTTTCTTAATAATGTATCTTACTCTACGGAAAATACCAGTGTAAAAACAAGACTATGTTGTAGTTGTTATCATCCTTTCGAATTTGATGTTAGTGAATTATTAAAAATAAGCTATAAATTCTTAATGTAGCTCAGTTAATAAAAGAGAGGATATCTAACTTTATTTGAAGAGTGTTTGTTGCCAAGTGTGCTTGGGGGCTTCTTTCACTTAAGCACTCAAAGACTGTCTCTTAGTATCTTCATCCACTGAAAGCCACAAAAGACTTAGAAAAATAAATAAATGTTAACTTGCATTTCTAACCCTCTGACTTAAAGGCCTAAGATAATTGTTAAGTTACGGGTCAAATAATACGAAAATGAACTCTCGCTTGAAATCTGGATCTTTTTTTTTTTAATGTGCTTAGAACCATCTACGAAGAATTTCAATTTTCTCATAATTTTTCCAAAACTATTTTATGTTGGTTTGTGTTTTTGATAATATCGAAGTGTATGATGTTGTTTTAATCCTAAATTTTAAAGTATTAATCAAACTTATCTCTATTGTTTCAACTTAGTTCTGATCCTGAAAAGATTTTGATGAACCCAGCCAGAGATGACTCAAACCCTTTCCTGTGTCTGGCTTTTAAGTTAGAAGTGAGTTACTGCTCTACTTTGAGAACTCATTTTAGAATCAACTATTTTTTTATTTTATTTTAGCATTACTTATTTTGCAAAATAAGAAGAAACTACAGTGAAATCATAATAATTAGATGTGGATATGACTTACCTCGAATTATCAAATACTCAGATTATCGAATTCATTAAATTAAACAAATGGAAATTTTAACAAAAATTTTAATGTAAGTATAATTAAAAGCTGTTCAAATATTATGTAAGCAAATAACAGGGGGTTTGTATTTTTGCTAACAAGGGGGGAAGAGAGATATTTAGCTATGCATATCAGGGATGATAGTATTCTGGGTTTATCATATTATCCTTACGGGTCAAAAAATTAGGATCAAGGCATATGATTTTTCCGGGAATATCGCAGTATTACACGTTTCTCAAGATTATTGGTTCTTGGACTTTAACTGATAAAGAACTTATAATCCGACAAAATTTTCGTGGAAGTACTCAATCTAAAATTCAAACGTTTAAAGTTTCTCTAATTTCCGCTAGGGAGACGCTTACATACACGTGATTCTTTTGGTTTGCCGAATTTTCACCATTTTCATTAATTTGAAACTGCGCCGGAATCTGTTAATATCACGATCCCTATTCGGGTCGATTTGAATATCAAACAGCAATTTTCGTATTAACCTTATTTAAAAGTTGTGCATTGCTATTTGTATCCACAGGGTTTAAAAATCGTAACATCACAATTTGTATTCATGCGATTTCAAAAATCCAACATCACGATGCTTACAAGAACTAAGATTTTTCTTAAATTAGTTACTTTAAAGGTGCAATAGTTGTCATTTGTATGTAGTTTAATTTTAAATCCTTTAATTAATCCTTTAATCCTACTGACTTCTTTTAATTAATACCTTATTATAGGCTGGTAGATTTGGTCAAGTCACTTACTTAAGAATATATCAAGGCAAACTGAAAAGAGGAGAACTACTATACAATGTAAAAACTGGAAAACGTCTCAAGTGTACCCGCATAGTTCGAATGCATTCAAATGAAATGGAGGACACCGAGGAAGCCTATGCTGGTGATATTGTCGCTGTTTTTGGTTTGGATTGTGCGAGTGGTGATTCATTTGTTACAGATAAAAATTTGAAACTGACAATGGTAAATTTAATCTTTATAAAATTCTCAGCCGTAAAAAATTATTTTGCATTCTATTCAATCTTAGTGATAAAATTTATTTATACATCTACATTTTATTGACCTATTTTGCATTATTATAGCTCATTTTCATGGATTTTAATAAAATAGATACATTTGTTTAGGAGAGAAAATCATATCAGATTTAGAAAGCGTGTTATTATGATATTATTTAAAAATTTTATGACTTCAAAATTTAGTTAAAATATATTGCTTTGTTTATAAGTTTCAGTTAACATAGTTGAATTTTTGGTGTGTAATAAATTACAGTGCAAATATTAATCCTTTCAAATGTTTTCAGATTAAAAAAAAATTATAAATAAAGTGAACGTTTAATACATAATATGTTTATATATAGCTTTAAAAAGTAGATATTGAATATTGTTTTGTTTTTTTTCACAAGAAAAAACATGATCATAATAAAAATCTGCCAATTATTAAAGCAGTAAATAAATATTTGGAAGAATATCTGTATAGATAAAATCAAATTGTTTTCTGTTTTTATTGATTTATTTTTTAAGTAAATGGACAAGTTGTTCTACATAAAATTATTNTCGTATCCTTTCAAATGTTTTCAGATTAAAAAAAATTATAAATAAAGTGAACGTTTATATATAGCTTTAAAAAGTAGATATTGAATATTGTTTTGTTTTTTTCACAAAAAAAACATGATCATAATAAAAATCTGCCAATTATTAAAGCAGTAAATAAATATTTTGAAGAATATCTGTATAGATAAAATCAAATTGTTTTCTGTTTTTATTGATTTATTTTTTAAGTAAATGGACAAGTTGTTCTACATAAAATTATTTTTCAAACTAGAGTTAAAGTATCACTACTTACATAAAGCTACCCGCTTTATTTTTATCTTTTTTCTTTTCTTTTTTTACCAAAAATTGTGAAATTAAATTTATTTTTGGCCTGTTTTTCAGTACCTAATCTATAATATTAGATATATTTCTATTCTATTTTCATTACATTTGTGTGCATTATGTGTAATTATAAATTACTTTTTTATAAAGAGATATAATTAAAAATTCATTTTTTTAATTATTTAAAATTTTATGCTTCTAATTATAAGCTAAAAATCCACAAAATATTTTTGAAAAATGATTATTTTAATTAATTTTTATCTAATAAAAAAACTCACAAGTCTTAGTTTTTCCTTAATTTCTCCAGTAATTATTCTCATCCTTATTTTGGTTTCCTAGTTTTTTAATGACTAGTTTATTTTTCTAAAATTGGTACACTACTAACATGAAAGAATTGCTACCTGCTACACTATTGGAATGCCTTTAACATTATTGATAAGTGATACTTTTTAATAATGCTCATTCTTTTCTAAAATAAATTATTTTGACTTATCTGCGCTTACTGATTTTCTGTGTTATTTTTCAAGTAATTAACTTGGATATATAATAAATTTAATGTATTTCCCAAAATGTCTAAATAATATGAAAGTTGATATTTTTAGGTCAACTAATTTGAATGATGAGCAGTAAAATGTGTGAAGAAAAAAATTTCATTCACAATTTTTAAATTTACTTTGTTTTGTAGGAGCCTATGTTTGTACCAGATCCTGTTATTGCTATGTCTATTAAGCCAAAAGATAAAAAGCACCTTGAAAACTTTTCCAAAGCTGTGAATCGTTTCACTAAAGAAGATCCGACTTTTCACTTTTATTTTGATCATGATAGTAGAGAGGTAAGTAAAAAAAAAAAACTCATAAAAATTTGCTTACATGTCTCTTTTTTCATGCTGACATGAACTGAAACAAGGATTAAAAATGTTTTCTTACATCTATATTTTTGGAATTTTTTTTTTCTTCCCCAGCTTGAAATTATAATTTCTGGTACATGTTCTGCAAAATAATGGGTGCTAGTGCTTTATTCTACTGGTTAAAACATTCCATTCATTTCTTTTAATATGAAAGTGGGTTAATAGTGACATTTTTATGGGGGAGGGCTAATGATTTGCTTTACTTTAAAATTTTTAATAGCTTAAATATAGAGAAAAGGTAACAGGGGGCTGTTAAAAAAAAATTTATGAAATATCTAAATTCAAATTGGCAAAAATAATTTTTTTTTATGATTAAAAAAAATTATCAAACTTAGTAAACTTTAACTGTGATATATATTTTTTATTGTTATAATTATTTCCCCCTTTTATGTATTTTATATTTATTAATATTGCTTACTTTCTGCTTTGTTTATTATTTTGTTACTAAAGCTTTATTGTTGTTTTTAATTTATTTTGATATATGTAATTATAATTTTCATTGATAGATATTTTTTTAAGTCATCATGAATTTCACGACATTTTTTTCAACTTATTTGTTAATAAATTTATTGTTACTGTTATTTTGTTTTTACTAAATAAATTAAAACTAAGATTATAATCTAACTACGATAACTAACATCGTTTTTAGATTTTTTATTTATTTATTTTGGCTAATTTTCATTTTACGATTAAAAAAAAAAACATTTTTTTTAAAATAGTAAAATTAATTTCATGCATTCTAAATCAAAAAGAATTCAAAAACTTCATCCTAAAACCTTTATTTCCAAATTTATAAGACTTTTTCTTAATTATTTACAAATTTTAAATTTAAATGTGCCTAAAAAAAAATTTCAATTTTTTTTCTTTTTTCTGTATTCTCAATTTTAACTTTTATTAAAAGTTATTTTGAAATGCTCATGATGCATTTTAATATTAAATTTGGTACTTCCAAGTTTAAACTAAAGTTGAATCTGTTATTATTAAATATTTATAATAAACTAAAAACTTTTAATATTACGTTTTAATAATTACTTGTAAATAAAAATTTTTTACCTCCATAATTGTGCTATACGATGTGAAGATACTTAACTGTTCTTTAAAGTTTATGAAAAGGAAACTTTGTTAATTATTAAATGTTTCTGATAAATATTTACTACTTACAAACCTTAATTTATTTACAGTCTATTGTATCTGGAATGGGAGAACTTCATCTAGAGATATATGCTCAGGTACAAGTTTGTTTGCTTTTTTTTTCAAAGAAGATTTGTTATAAATTGAAGATCATAATGGAAAAATATGTTAAGTCACAATTCAATGTTAAGTCAGGCTTTAAAAATTGCTCCATAATTAAAACATTGTGAAGTATAATAAAAACCCTTTATCACCTACCACAACCATGGAAAAACAAGTTAGGTAATATTTTGATAAGTTTAGATTTAAAAAATTAATTTTAAAATTTGCTTGATAATTGCAATAACCATAACAGTGGAATTAGGAATAAAATACACTATAGTGACAGTAAACCATAACCTGCAACAACCATAAAAAAGTATAGAATGACATTTCATCTGAATTTGAAGGAAAGAAAAAACACTTCAGCTTTAAAACTTATTATGTTAATACAGCACGCATTACATGTTACCGCCAACCACAGAGGCACAATGAATCAGTAGTTAAGGCACTGAATTATCATTGTGAAGGACTGGGTTTCGATCCCCAGTGGCGACTTGAAGTGCATCCATCTTCAAATTAATGGATACCAGCTTGTTTGAGAAGTAAAAGCGCCATGTGTACCATGCTGACCACCTTGCCACTATCATGAAATTGTGGAGCCTTAACCTATTGCGGGAATGCTTTAATTTGACAACCAACCACAACAGTGGAAAACAAACATGTTAAGTGATATTTCATCCAAATTTCGAAGAGAAAAAGGAAATCGGTTTTAAACTTTGTGCTATAACAGCAAATCACAATCGTAAAAACTGCTTTAAAACTTGCTCTGTTATAACAGCAAACTATTACTTGTTACATCCTACCACAACCGTGAGAAAATCATTTTTATGATTTATTCTATAATTACAGATAATCGTAATGGGTTCTTCCATTATATTCTTCTTTTTAACTAGAATTTTTTTATAATATAATAATAAACATAGGTTTTTGTTTTTATTTTAGAGAATGGAAAGAGAGTACAATGTACCTGTTATATTGGGAAAGCCAAAAGTTTCTTTTAGAGAAAGCTTACTTGCGCCATGTGACTTTGATTATTTGCATAAAAAGCAGTCTGGTGGATCTGGCCAATATGGAGGGGTCATGGGGAAAATGAGAGTTAGTTCTTTTATTTTAGTACTTGTTTATTGTTAAAATTAAATTTATATTTTCTGGCTTTGTGCTTTTATGAATCGAATGATATGAAAGACTTTAACTTAACAAAGGTTAACTTGTAAACCATTGAACTTTTTAAAACAATTATTTTTATTATAAATACTTTTGAGAACCAGCAAAATAAAATAAATAATTTAATATTATATTTTTTCTTTATTTGAGGGGTTACTTTATAAAATAGTTTACTTTAATAAAATTAACTTTAATTTAGTAAAATAATAGCTATTAGTTAATAAACATGGGATCTTAATTGTTATATTTTTATTTGACCAGCAGATTTTGAATTTTATCACTTTTATTTGAGCACTTTTTTATCGTTAAAATTAAGTTATTATTTTTTACTTTGTGCTTTCATAAATCCAATGATGTAGTTTCCCTGCTACAGTCCATGTTTGACTGTGACTTCCCTAACAATTCGATCCCAAAGCTGTTGCTTATAAATTTTTTTAATTAAAAAAAATTTTTATTTTTAACGGCTCTCTCAAGATGCATCGATCCGTCTCTTTTTTTATTCTGTCTTCCCTGTTTCCATTGTCTGTGACATTGGCCATTCAAAATCTTTTTTTCCAGACCTGTTGTCAGTCATTCTTTCTATGAGTGGAACAGCTCACTCCGGCCTTTAGAACATTCATAATAGGGACTCAGTATTGTGAATAAAACAAACAGTGTTATCTGTGGGCAACATTTTTGTTAATTTTGAAAAAAATATGATATCTAATTGTTAGATAATTCCATATTGTGTTTCTAATACATTCTTTTCATTTGGTTATGCATTTTTCCCAAGCACTGTTAAATATCATTATAAAATTTAAATTGCTAAAATCTGTTCAAAAAATTTAATTTTACAGGCTGCTCCAGATATAAAAATTATTTGTACCTCTCTGCTCCAAAAACCAAATTTACTTGCACCAAGTGACATTTTTCTGCTCTAAAATAGCTAAAATGTTCCAGCTCTGAATTGTTTAAGTGTTATTTAATTTTAAAATTGGGATTTCTTGTACTAAACACCGTCCAAAGTATTGCTACAAGAATTATATTATAGAATAATTAGGATAATAAAGAATATTTTTTTGAAAAATGGCACAATTTAAAATTATTACATTTGTAAAATCTTATCAAAAATAGCATATTACTAGTAAGAAACTTTTAGCAAGTAACAGTTCAATTATGGAAGACTAAAAGAATTTTAAAACAGTTGAATTATACGAAAATTTAAAAAATTTCTAAATTTATTTAATCAGTATTTTCCTACTATTTTTGAAACTGACTATACAATACATTTCTTATTAAAGTAGTGTAATGTTTAAAGCATCATTTATTTATTTTTTATTCATTTATTTATCTATTTTTATTTTAAAAAAATAGCAATTATCAATAAACAGTATTTAATTTNATACAATACATTTCTTAAAGTAGTGTAATGTTTAAAGCATCATTTATTTATTTTTTATTCATTTATTTATTTATTTTTATTTTAATATTTAATATCATATTTAATTTTATTTTATCAATAAACAGTATTTAATTTCGGACCATTATCCATTGATCACTTAATAATAATTTGAAGTTCTTATTAAATGTAAAGCAATTCTATATTTCATTTTCTAGCCTTTACCTCCTGAGCAAAATACCAAAATAGTTTTTACAGATGCCACAGTGGGAACTAATATTCCAAAAACCTTTGTTCCAGCTATTGAAAAGGTAATATTTTTCATTTATTTTATTTATTTGTCTTATATTAAATTCATTGTGTGAAATACTATTGTCTGATACATGTTTATTTTTAATGTTAATCTTTTTTTCTTTCAAAACATGAATTATTATTATAATTTGTTTATTTATTTATTTATTTTTAGTAAAATTATTGAGTTAGTTTACTCTAAAGTAAAAACGAATTTATGTATCAATGAATTAACATTAATTGGTTTTTAATGTCAATATCCTTTTTTTTTATTAAAACATGCATTAAAGATTACTTTTTGAATAAAATTATTTAGTATTTATACACTCAAACACAAAGTCAACTGGTAGTGGAACAGAAAAAAAATTTTACGGTTAAANCTAAAGTAAAAACGAATTTATGTATCAATGAATTAACATTAATTGGTTTTTAATGTCAATATCCCTTTTTTTTATTAAAACATGCATTAAAGATTACTTTTTGAATAAAATTATTTAGTAATTATACACTCAAACACAAAGTCAACTGGTAGCGGAACAGAAAAAAAATTTTACGGTTTAATTAGTTTCGGTTATCAGTTTAAAAATCTTTTTAGTAAATGTTTTTATTTTGCCCATTATATTAAATTAATAACTTATATACATCCCATAATAAAAAACCAAATTACTTTAAACAATAAAATAAAGCTATAAAGGGGAAAAAATGTAGTTCAGACGAAATTCAAAAAATGTTCTTGCTTTCGGTGTTCAATTTTTTTTTTTTTTTTTTTTTTTTTTTTTTTTTTTTTTNTTTTTTTTTTTTTTTTTTTTTTTTTTTTTTTTTTTTTTTTTTTTGTGTAGAAGTAAATGAAAAAGTAACTAATAGGGATAAAACTGATTTATTGCACAAATTAGAGAGGATTACTAGTAAATTAATTGGTCATAATTTTCTGTTTTGAGTACTTATTTGCAAAAGTCTTCTAGCTTATCTATATTAAAGAAAGGTATTCAAATTTTCATTTTGCATTACAAAAAAAAAACAATCCGTTTTAATTGTTTTGTTAGCATCAATCAGAAAAAAGTAAACCTAAGTATTGACTAGTGAAATTTAAAAGAATTTTAACTCCACAGATATCTGTAGAAATGCAATTCAGCAATATCAATTTCTTAGAAACTACCTATGAGAAATTTAGAGAATGAATGGCTTCCCATCTTGAACAAAGACCTACTGTAGATGGTCATTCCTAAAATAAAAATAAAAAAATGCTTCTTTGCATTCAGACCTATAAAGCACCCCATGAGGTGAAAGAAAACTCTATTCATATTAGAGTACAAAAGGGCTTATGTTGTTTCCTGTAATGCCACTCCCCCTCAACAGATTCAATTCAAACAACTCTAACATTTGACTCCTGTAATGTACTGCTGTTTCAAGTATCAACACTGTAACAAAGCATTCAAAACACATAGTATTATAGATATAGAACTGTGAATGATCAATTTTCTTACCTCTCAATGAAAAAAAAAAATTTCTGTTCACATTAAAAGCAAAATTTTTTTCAAGGGTAATGAAATTTGAGTTCACTTTAAAAGATGTTTCATGTTAAGTGTGTTAACATTTAAGGCATTATATGCATATACAATTCGATGGGGAATCAAAAATAAGTTCACGTTTAAAAATATACATGTTAAGCATGCTTAGATTGGTGAAGTTCGACTGTATTAAATTCGTTTGTATGAAATACTGTTGTCTAAAATGTTTTTTTTTTTTTAATATTATAATGTTTTTATTGTTAAGGCATAAATTAAAGCTTACTTTTTGAGCAAAATTAATTTTATGCATCAATTTCTCTTTTAATTTCCTGTTAAAATGTCCCATTGGCAAAATGGGTCTTGGTTTAGATTTTATGGCGTCCTCACTTTTTAACTACAATAATCAAGAGTAATAGTAAACAGTGTGCATGCGTTGCTATGGCAACCACTGCTGTTTGATAATTTTTTTTAGAATTCTTTTTTTCACTTTTAATGATGATGTTATTTTTGAGATGAGTTTATTTTTGAGATATGGGGCCAGAGAGATCCCATAAATAATTTTTTAGTTGTTAGAGTTCATCAGAGAATTTCATCATTTGAACTATATTTTTGTTTTTATTACGGTTAAATTCCAACCTACAGTTCAAACTGGATCATTTTCAATACTAATTCAGATGAATATCACAAATAAAGAGGGTCCAAACTGATTGACACAGTCCCAAAAGTTAGAGTTGAAGCAAGAAAAAAACGATGTGAAGGTCTAAACTTACCGAGACTGAAAAAGCCGAAGAGTGTAGGCGGGAATACCTTAAGTGTTACACACAAACGGGGGAAACAAAAGAATTCCATTCGTAAACGCAAGCATGAAGCTCGTCCCTCACAAAAGTACCAAAGTGGATGAGAGAATTGAACCCTACCGTAGAGCGAATTGTGACTCTCTGAACCCCTTTCATGCAAATACGAGAACTGGGTGTTGATCACCAGTTAGGGATAAAAGGATCCGTTATCAACATACCCAATAACTTGCGCAAGACTGTAGACTGTCTTCCTCGCAATATAAATGATTCATTCACTATTCATGCAAAATTGAAAAAAAGCCTAGCTTTCAAATCATGTTTCATGTATAAACTTGTAAATATGAAGCGGGTGTATGATGTAGGGTGACCCGGGGTAATTCACGATCACTCTGTTTCTGGGGTAAATAATGATCACCTAAGTTTTATTTTAAAAAAATAATTTTTTTCTAAATTTGAGACATGGACAAGAATGCTTGTACACTTTACTAAGGTATAACTACATTTACTTAATAATAGTTTTTTGTTTAATCTAACAAAATAAGTATCTTTTAAACTGCTTTCTGTATTTTCCATTTCAAAGATGGGTTTCAAAATGTGCACATTTCTGCAAAGATCCCCCTCCTTCTCTTAATAATAAATATTTTGAGTTACTTTCTTTTTCTTTGATATGAAAATAGTGTAAGCTCTTGTTTAATTGTTTCACATCTACTGTAAACATTATAATTGATTATAGGAAACTATATCAAATGTTGCCCCCTACAGATGGGGTAATTATTGATCACTGGGGTAATTCATGATCATTGTCATTTCTTTTCATAAATAGTATTAAAATAAACTAATAAATAGCTAATTGTCTTTTCTTAAGTAACAGTTCATATTTTTCAAATGAAACTATAAAATATATTTTAACTCAATTTAATCACAAAATTTGTTTTTAACCGTATGCTAGACAAATGTGTTCCAATTTGTCTTACCTTGCTTCTATCTTAATTTTATGTGTGTACATTGTTAGAATAATTTTTAAGTTTATAAATTAGCCTAATATAAATATGGTGAGAAATTATAAGCCTAAAAAGGATACAAAGCTTCTAGAAAGCAAAATTAGTTCTAGTAATTAAAATTTCTTAATTAGTAAATTTCTTTTAGTGATTGAAAATGAAAATTTCAGTGTGAGAGCTGTTGACATACCTTACTTAACTTTACACTCTCCCTTAATGAAGTTACAAAATCCAGCAAAAGTAACCCATGTGGGAACTCTTTCTTATATTCCAGCAGAACATGAGAATAAGTTAGCTGCTTGCCTAAAATGTATGGCACGATACAAAGATTTTTGGAAAATTTAAAGTGCTAACCTTTATTTTTGCTTTTTAAATAAATTGTTTTATTGGCTGCTTAAACATATATTTTTGGTTCATTTGTTTGATCTTGATGTCTTATTTGTTAATTACCACTGTATAATTATTTTTAAACAGCCCCTTTATGATTAAAACTGGTGATCAGGAATTACCCCAGAAAGGATCAAGAGAAGGGGTAATTCCTGATCACTAAAAATTCAAAATATTTTAAATTCTAATTAGATTTTCAAACAAAACAAGGTAGCCTGGGACTCATCTCATATAGCCTCAAACTTCCAGTAAATATTATAATTCTAACTTAAATAGTTTTCTTACAAAATAGATGTTTGCATTTTTTGATCAGGAATTACCCCAGGTCACCCTACATTGTAACATTGTACCAATCCAAAAATGTTAATATTGATCTCAACTGACTGTTCAATGTATATTCATTTATCAAAAGAATTTACACTGAATGTGTCTAAGCTGCATTTAAATATGTCTGCCAAATTGTGTACCTTGAAGTTCAGGATTAACAGTTAAAGATGTCCAAGATGAAAACACAATGAAGTTTCTTTTCCAAAAAAAATTAGACAACAACCATTTTGCCAATGGGTAACCTGTGATCGCCGCAAGGCGATCACAATTTTCTTCATTTTGTATTAAATCATATTTATATACTTTTTTTTTAAATTATGTTTATATAACTGGTGTAGTCCTTCTTTTTTATGTTTGTTTTCTATTTTGTTAATAACAAACTTAAACAATGCTTAAAAAATTTAATACAGCAAACTTTTACATAAATAAAACAATAATTTGTTTAATATTTAATACACATTTGTTTTATTCTTAATTTGTTTTTAAATGACATAGTGGATGTTTTCTCTAATGCCTAACCCTTAAATACATTTTTTATTACACATTTAGGGTTTCCGATCAATGTGTGAAAAGGGAACCTTGACTGGACACAAACTTTCTGGCATTGAATTTGTCTTAACAGATGGTATGTAGATAATTTTAAATATCCGTGTTATTATTATTAGAAAATATTTTGTTTATTTAAATCATCTACTTAAATTTTAGCAAATTATAATAAATGTAGTTGTTTTCTTATTTTATATTAAAATCTTTCATTATTGAGCCTTTTTTTTTTCATATATTCTATGTTTATACTTCAACTCTTACCTTCAGTAACCAATTTTAAAATTTAAGTTAAATCTTACCTTTTGCACCTAAAATCGAACATAATTATATTATCGCTGTTGGTTCTACAAGATTCATAATTATGTATGGAATTTCTTGATGTTCCTTATGAGTGGAATTTCCTGAAAATTTTTTTGTCCTGAATTAAAAGTTTTTGTCCTGATTTCCTAATTTTTGTATGTGTCCAGAAGATTGTGTTTCTAACAAATGCAAATTTCAAATTATAAAGAACTGAAAGTTTTGATTTTTGATCCATCATCTTTTTATTTTAACTAATAATGCTTGTGAAATTCGATAATTTAAACTTAGGGGCTATCCATTAATTCTATACATAGTTCAGGCATGTAACTGAACCTGCTAGATTCTTTCTTTTACACTTTTTAAGGATTCATTCATTTTATGGAGAAAAAAAAAATAAACTCAATAATCAATTTTACTTCATTAAATTTTTATGATTCCAAGAGTCATATGCATATTTATAATTTTCGGCAAATGCAATAACAATTCTTGTAGGATAGAGTTTTATAGCTTCACAATCATTGGTTTGTCCATTTCATCTGATTTAATAATGAATAGTGCAATAAATAATAGAGTAATCACATCAGTAAATTATTAAACAATGAATTAAAGGATCATCCACTAAAAAACTTTTGTTCAAAAATGTTATATAATGTAATTACTGTGTTTTTGTTTCAAAATTATTGAAACTCCAATTAAAAATTATTTGATTAAAGAAATCTTGAACTCTATTGGAAATTTTAATTTAATATTTGTATGAGGGAATATTAACTAAATGGTACTATTTTTAGAGCAACAATAATACTATAAAAATGTTATATTTATTGCTTTCAAACTGTTATGAGTTGTTCAGTGCCCTATTAAAATTGTATTGTTTGTTCCTAGCATAGTAATTCAAAAATATAAAAATAGTATATTATTCTTTTGCATTAAGGATTATCTTTATTACACTGAAGTAGAAAAAAAATTCTAATTTTTGTGGCTTTTCATTTACCCTTTTTAAAGTAGGTTGGTATATGTATACTTTTCCTTAAACTTGTTTTTTTCCTTTTTGAAAAATGTTAGTTGGATTTTTTTTTTCTTTGGCCCATTACCAGGCCTGTTACTGTTAACTTTATTACTATGGTTCCAAAAGCATTAAGTGAGCGTTAACAGTTTGTTTGTATAAATTGTAAGGTTTTGTAAATTTAAATTGTGATATTTAATTATATAAATGTGAGATTTAAGTCATTAATTTTTTTTTTTTTCTTTTGATGATTTTTTTCTTTTGCCTGATGAAAAGAGAACATAGTCTCATTGATTTTTTTTTCATGAAAGTTATTATTTTCTTTATTCTAGTTTTTACATTATAATTCACAGTTTTTGAACCCTAATTTTTTAATAATTAGCAGTTTATTTTTGACAAAATTAATTTTGCAAATGATAGTAAACATGGTTCATTCATACATACCATTATCAGTTTTTTTGGTAATTTCAGGCTCCTTTTCTTTCGCTGTAATCACGGAAACCCTACTCTGAATAAGTTGTTAGTAATGATTGTTAATAATTAGGACTATTTTTTCCTAGTTTTATTTTGTTTCCTCATAAAAGAAATAAAAGAATTTTGTATGATTTATTAAAAATAATGTATGACAAATGTGACGTTTGAAATTATTTTTTTACAATGAATTATTTTTTTATTTAAAAAGCTTTTTTGTGCTCTTCCTATTTTTTTTTTCAGATTCAATTTCAACATAAAAGTGTTTGTTTTATTTTGAGGTATTGATAAAAAATAAAAAATAAATTAAAAATTTTAACTTGAAAATATAAACAAATTTAAGTTTATAATTGAAATATTTTGTCACAAAAGTGACTTTTGAGTAATTTAAGGTTTTTATATTTTTATTTTTTCATCACATTTTATTTCAAAACTAAACTAGTTTCACCTTATTTCTTCTAAAAAACAATATGTCGTATCATTTAAAATAATTTCTAATGAAATTTTACACCAGTATCCTCATACCAAACCTACCTTTTTTCTCCAAATGAAAATGATACGTATCATATTATGTATATCATTTATATTTATTGTCACTGAATTATAAAACTTCAAAAAGGGAATATCTTTAGACTTTCAAAGTTTCAAAAACTATTTGTTCAATTTCATTAAAATCTTGCATTTTTTTATTTGAATTTACACAATTTAAAAGGAAATAAAACTTTGCATTCTCTACAATTCAAGCATTTTTCTACCATATTAAAAATTACTTTTACTTGAACCAAATTTTATTATTGTGTGAAAAAGTTTTTAGATTCGCTTAAGTTCTTGAGGTATGGCGAAATACTCAAAAGGTGAGATTAACTATTCGGGGCATATACTTCCGAACCTTCTCATAACTTAACTTTTGGAACCATATTTTCCTGATTCCTGCTACCATTTCTTTGAGGGGAAAAGTATGCTTATTTAGAAAAGGTATGTTTTTGTGTTTGGTACCCTTACTAAATTTATTATTTGCACTAGTTAATAAGCGTGTTTAGGATCACCCCTTTGAGCCATTCAGAGTGGTTCTTAGCTCATTGAAATCTGATCATTGAAACAAAATTCATTCAATGATGTTTTTTTTTTTTTTTTTTTTTTTTTTTTTTTTTTTTTTTTTTTTTTTTNTTTTTTTTTTTGCTCACTGTAAAACATGAAAAAATCCTTTTCTTTTTTAGCTGTTTGAAGTTCTTGTTTTTTTTAACATGTAGAATAATTTTGCTAAGCATTTAATTTGCTGTATTTCAGGTTCCCATCATATTGTTGATTCAAATGACATATCATTCTTTTCTGCTGCGTGTGGCGCTGTTCAACAAGGTATGTTTATCTGGAGTACTTCATGTCTTTTATTATAGTTGTTAGTACAGATTACCTTTGCTTGAGCTGCTTACTGTTATCTATTTCATACTTGGAAGATTCTCATTATTTTCACAATTTTTTATTACCACTATTGAGATCATAAAAAATGTCATATTTCTGACATGGCAAGCTTTATCTTATTTCTTAAAACCCTTAAAAAGGTGTTATTTTATAAACTGTTTTGAAAATATTTAGCGTTTTCTATTTTTATTTTTTTTTTAAATTTTGAAACTTAGGTTTTAATGACAGGCTTGATTTCTTTTTTTCGGTTACACTATGATGATAATTATAAGGCGGGATAAAAATATTCACCTATACCAAGTACCAATAAGATATAACTATTAAAGTGTAGCATTTATTTTATTTTTATCAAGGCTTTACAAAGATTCTTTAATATTGGTTTGAGTGATCTCATAACTTTATTTTAACTTTCAGTATTTGACTATGGTCAGTGGCATATACTGGAACCTGTTATGTTGGTAGAAGTAGCTGTACCCTCTGAATTTCAAGGATCTGTCATCACACAACTCAGTAAAAGGGGTGGAATTGTCATTTCTATGGATGCAGAAGGGGATTGGGCTATTGTCACAGCTGAGGTATGATGTCTTAGATAAATAGCACTGATTCTTTTTAACTTCCCATACAGATTATCTCCCCAATTTACTGATTTTTTAAGATTATATTACTAAATTATGATATATAAATAGCTGCCATCTCTTAAAGATTTTCTCTTTTTTACATATGTTTATTTAGAGTAGTAAAAAAATATATATATTTTTATTTTATTTTAGATTTATAAAATATTATTTTGACTGCCACGACATCTAAATAAATTAAAATAAACAAATGTGTGATAAACAAACAATAGTGTGTTTGAGCCCTTGTAAAATAAAATACATTTAACGTCTTACGATTATAATACAATTGTAATTTCACTACGACTGGGGATAAATCATACTTGAAAAGAGTATGAGTTGACAGATATATATATATAATATTTATGATACTATTATGAATACAAAGCAGTTTTGACTAAATTCGAGGCCTCTTTTCGTCATCATCTTGAAAATTAGGTTAAGTTTTTGATTCTCATTTTCTTGTTGTGTTCTTGTTTATGAAAAAAAAAAACTTTGATGATGGAGTGTCTTTTGACAGTTCCATACCTTTGAGAAAGAAAGGAAATTGCTTTTTAGATTAGGAGAAATACTGCTTGATAATTTCAAGATATTTTATAAAAAACTTTTTGAACTATAAATAATTTTCATAAATAACTAAATAATTTTTTTAAATGGTAAAGAAGAAAATGTGATTTATGAATTTAAATAAATGATATAAAACTGCACATTTGTCTGTGTTTGAATTTTTTTAAATTTAATTTTCTTGCACAATAAACTAATCAAAATGGATAGTAAATAAACAATACTATTAGTCTAGTACTATTATACTAATATATTTTGTTTTGGCTATTAGAAAGCACTCTAATTTATAAAAACAATCCTGTAAGCTGCTGACAACGTGATTATATCTTTTAGTTATTTTGTTTTTTTGGCTTTTAATTTTTTTTTTTTAATTTAAGTATTTTTGGTAGTTTTTCTTCTGCTTTAAGAAATATTTTTCCTTTTTTATTTCTTTTTTTTTTAATTTTATTTTGTACATATAAAACAACTGATTTGTTTAACAACTGATTAAAGAAATATTGATAAAATTAACAAAAAGATTAAGACTAAAAATTACATTGAAAATGAAGTAATGATTGAGTCACCACTGCAATCTTAATTTGATGCAACTATTATTAATGTTTTTACATTGCTACTTTTTCTGTTCATTCTCCAAGAAACTCGTAAAAAATTTAGTTTGCTATTGATTATTCTCTAAAATGCTTTATCAATTTAGAAAGGTACTTGTTGCTAATAAAATGTAAGTAATGCTTTGAAAAATTTGCAAATTTTAGAAATTAAAGTGATTATTCACACCTTGACAAACTTGCAATGACATTAAATGATAATGAGCATTCAATAACTTTCCTTTAAAAGCAGTTTTCTTTTGCACTCCCCTTTTCACTTTTTTATTTTTTTTATTATGACTTTTTTCATTCCTCAAGAAGTGTGATTCACACCTGTAATATTGTAACTGTAACATGTAACTGTAATATTGTAACTGTAACTGAAGCATAAAGTGTAATTTCAATTGGCCAAAAAATTTGATGCTAGAGCTCCATGTACAGGGAAAGTTTCTTAAGACCACATTATATTTTATTTAAAAGAATAATACATAAATAAATCTATTACTAATGTTTCTGTTTTTTTTTTTTTTCTTATAAAGGTGCCACTTAACAACATGTTCGGCTATTCATCAGAATTACGTTCCAGCACGCAAGGCAAAGGTGAATTCACAATGGAATATTCCCGATACTCTCCGGCAGCTGTAGACGTCCAGCAACAACTCATTCAAGATTATCAATCCCTTTCGGAAAAAGAAAGAAAAAATTTGTAAATATCATTATAAAGAATTTTGTACATATGTATTTATTAAAGCATTTTAGTACTTTTATTCAATGCTCTATTTATTTGTGTTTATCACAGAAAAATAGAGGGATTTTCTTTCTCTGCTAGCACATGCAGTCTAGCTGTTTTATTTATTACAAGCCTCGTTTTAACGAAAACATGCGTGTACCAAGAAAATTTTTAATAAATATTTAGTTTTGTGTTATAAAAAAAATCTATTAACTGTTCTATTATTACAAGCATAGCGTGAATTTCTTAGATCTTGGTTTCTTATATAGTTAAGATGCATAAAAAGAGGTATTAAACTTCTTCTAATCTAAACTAAAATTATTATACATCAATATATTCATGTCTTTTTTATGTCTCTCTTAATATTAAAAGTCAATATAAGAGACAATATATTATTATATCTTCTCTTAATATTGACTTTTAACTTTAAAAACTTGGTCATATATTTTTTATAATGTATTAAACTATCAAATTAAGTGGAAAAAATTATAAATGAAATGGATTCTACTCATAGAGGCATGAATATGGTTCCACTGTGCACTCTAAACAAAACTGTAAAAATGACTTAAAAGCTTGATTTTCGTTTAGGAACCAAATGTGGTATAGTATGAAGAGAAAACTGCTATTGCAAAAATCTTAAGTTCAAATGTTGGGACAATCCGTCTAATAAAATGTAAATGAAAAGACAAATTATTAGTTTTAAAAAAAAATTGCATTTCATTACAGATTAAAAAAACTTTTTTTGAAATCTTTATTACAATTTTAATGAAACATTTTAAATTATTGCTGTTGGTATTTCCCTTTTTAAAAAAAACGTCGGGAAACTATGAAAAATTTTTAGGATATCTTGTGTCTTATGATTATGCATAAAAGCCAATATTTCGCTTTTATATTAATATAAAACTCTAACTGGTTTGAATATATTTATATACATCCTTAAAATCGTTACGTTAACGGGTGCATAATATTTGAGTGTCTAATTCTAGACTCTTTAATCTTAATCTAGTTCATAACAATAAAGATTGGAACCACATAACTAATGGTACCAGTCTATAAATTCCAGTACTAAATTAGATCTGCGATAAGTCTGAAATGTTTCGTTTTCTACTAAATCAATTGCATTGCATACATTGACAATTCCTTTGATAAGAAGTCGAAACAAGCGAAAGACGCGTTTAGAAAACATTCCAACGTGTAACAGAATTCTATGTTTAGAATGCGAAGTGAAATCACAAGGAGTTAATCTGGATAAAGGCTTTTTCTAAAATATTCCATATCAGAAAAGCAAATTCTTTCTTACCATAACGAATCTCAAATATCAATCTCGTAATCAAATTTAAATTATTGAGAAATCAAATTTAAAATATGACTTTTTTCAAAATTCGATATCTCAGGAACTATTCGACCGTTTTCGCTAAAATTTTGTACTTTGCCATGTAAAAATATATCCATTGAAATGATACAAAAATTTCTATACCTTGCAATTCAAAAATTTTTCATGATTCTTAACTAAAATAATAAAAATTTACTAAAAGTTATTTTTTGCTTGGATTTGCCTTTGGATAAACGAATTTTACGAGCACTCGCCTTCTAATTAGGTGAACCGGGTTCGAATCCCAGCAATGGCTGGTCGATATGAACTTACACCGACCACAGTAGTGGCGTAAATTTTCCTCAGAGTTAGGCGGATCATGGGTTAGAGTCGCCTTGCCGTCTGGCTATCCGTGGGAGGTTTTCGTGGTTTATTTCTCTATGTAATGCAGATGTGGGTAAGTTCCATCACAAGGTCTTTCTCGAAGGCAAATCTCTCCCAATACTTGATCCAGAATTTTCCTTGTATTCTGGATTGCGCTCAAAATTACAAGGCTACGGAGTTGAACATTGGTTGTCATAAACTCAAATTAAGTTGGCTATTCAACAACGGTAATAAACAAATATTATGAATATGTTTGAGGGGGTCATTTCCGTTACACTTTAATGATTTTTATTAACTTCTTTGTTAAAAGAGAAATTTGATATTAATATCAATTCAATGGATAGGTGTCAAAATTTCTAAAAAATATACGTATGCTAAGAAATATTTATAAAAGAATTTTTAAAAAAAATTTATTTCATCCTTGTCCTCTATCTAGTTAGTACAAATGTCTCTAAAATCGATGAATATGCAATTATGATATAAGGCGGATAAAAAAAATTCTGTGAAGCCTACAATTAATTGCAGTCAAACTCAGCTATTGCAGAGATGCCAACTTGCTCCGGACAGCAAATATATATTTTAAAGTGGTAGTTTATCAATTATGATTCTTGGTTTAATAAATTCAATTCAGTAGATTTTTATCCACCACTATTTCTAAATAATTCGCAGGTTTATATAATTCACCACTTTATCATACTTATCTTATGTTATACCTTTTAAAAAGCAAGCAAAAGTAGTCAAATATTTGCAAAATTTACATTGTAGTTATTTACCGCTTTTTTAATTATTCTGGCGTGTCCGNACTTGGCCATGTAAAAATATATCCTTTAAAATGATGCAAAAATTTCTATACCTTGCAATTCAAAAATTTTTTATCATTCTTAACTAAAATGATAAAAAAAATAAATTTACTAATTTTTTTTTTTTTTGCTTGGATTTACCTTTGGATAAACGAATTTTACGAGCACTCGCCTTCTAATTAGGAGAACCGGGTTCGAATCCCAGCAATGGCTGGTCGATATGAACTTACACCGACCGCAGTGGTGGCGTAAATTTTCCTCAGGGGTAGGTGGATCATGGGTTAGAGTCGCCTTGCCGTCTGACTATCCGTGAGAGGTTTTCGTGGTTTATTTCTCCATGTAATGCAGATGCGGGTAAGTTCCATCAAAAGGTCCTTCACAAAGGTAAAACTCTCCCAATACTTGATCCAGAATTTCTCTTGTCCCTCAGTGGACTGATCGTTAAGACACGGCTCCCAGCAGATCACCGAAGTCAAGCATCACTGGCTGCTGTCAGTGTGCGGGTGGGTGACCACTTGGATCAGTCTGCGTAGAGACCGAGGGTGTGCGGTAGGAGTCCTCGTTAAACTGTTCTACCGTAAAGTGCTCGATTTCGCGTGCAGGTCGTCGGGCTACCGAAGCGGGGGTGCCATCCCCTCTGCAGAGGATTTAAATTGTGATGGCATGTCTTCGGACCATCCTCAGTGATGCTTCCCAGACCGTCGCCAATAGCCCATTGTGCAGCTCTAGTGCGACGTAAATGAACTACAACAACAACCAGAATTTCTCTTGTATTCTTATTGGGTTCAAAATTACAAGGCTACGGAGTTGAACATTGGTAGTCATAAACTCAAATTAGGTTGGCTATTCAACGACGGTACTGTAATAAACAAATATTATTGAATAGCTGCGTTTGAGGGGGGTCATTTCCGTTACACTTTAATGATTTTTATTAATTTTTTTGTTAAAAGAGAAATTTGATATTAATATCAATTCTATGGATGGGTGTCAAAATTTCTAAAAATTATACGTATGCTAAGAAATATTTATAAAAGAATTTTTAAAAAAATTTTATTTCATCCTTGTCCTTTATCTAGATAGCACAAATGTCGCTAAAATCGATGAATATGCACTTATGATATAAGGCGGATAAAAAAAAATTCTGTGAAGCCTAAAATTAATTATAATATTTTCTATTTCGGTTTACAGGCTTTGATCTTCTGTATTTTCTGATTTTTATTAATAGCTGCGTTTAAGAGGCGGGCACTTTAATTATTTTTTTATAATTCCTTGTTTCAAATGAGAACTTTGACATTAATATCAAGTAAAGAATAGGTGGCCAAAATTTTCAATATATATATAGATGTGGTAAGGTAAAAAATATTACTAAATTTTTTTTAATAATTTTCATTTTGTCCTTGTTTCTCTATATAGACGGTGCAGGTGTTACTAAAATTGATAAGCATGCAAATATGATATGAGGTGGATTGAAAAATTCTGTGTAGTCTACATTTAATGTATACTATTGTCTATTTCAGTTATATAGTTTGTCTAAAGTAAGAACTCCCCGAGCCATTTGTCTTGACCAGTGGTGACTATGGTAACGATATATAACTATTTCAAGTAGGGATGTGAGGTCACTGTTTAGGATAGGTTTTGGCACGGGTCGGCGAGAGAAAGGGAATATTTTTCTTCGGTCTATTGTATTAGCCCTAGAGTAAAGAGAAGCTACCCTCCCTGAAATTCGCTATTCTTGTTTCCATAGCTAGCCTCAGACTTTAAGGCGGAGGGAGTTCTTACCGTAGACAAACTATAGCTATTGCTCTCCTTTGTTTTCTAATTATTTTGACTAGCTTCATTTGAGGGTGCATTTAACGAACACTTAAACGATTTTTTTGTAATTATTATTATTATTTATTTATTTGGTTCAAAAGAGAACTTCGATATTAATATCAAATCAAAGGAAATGTGTCAAATTTCTAAAACCATATACATACAGTCCCTGGCCGAATTATATTTAGACATATATATAATGGCTTTTCATTCAGAACATTTTTTATATACTTCCTAATTGTATTTATATTTAACGCATTGCATTAAAATGTTAACCAATCGATACACGAACGTAATCAAGCGCAAACCGGTTTCAGTCACGTTCTCGCGTGGGTCAGCTGCGGGCGTGTTTCTGTGACTTTATGTAATGTGTTTATGTTTCGCAGATTTGTAATACGCAGTTATTTATTTATTTTGTGTGCAGTGTTTAAATAATCAATAGGAAAACTTCAATCATGGGTAAAAAAAAGCGATCTTTCACCATGTAAAAAAGTCGAAGCAAAAGCCCTCGTGAATGCTAAAATATTTTCAAACCGCGAAATACCACGAAAATTGAAGGTTTCTGAAACTAGCGACGAGGTATAAAGAAGAAAATTGAGTCAGGGGACAAATTGAGCTCGAAACGAAGTAAAAGATGCTGCAGAATCTTTAAATGTACGTCTAATAATTTAGCCAGGGACTGTATGCCAAAAAATATTTTTAAAATTTTTATTTGTCATTTTATAATATAGTTAACACAGGGGACGCTAAGATAGATGATGATACAAATGTGATATGAGGCTGTTAATAAAATTCTGTGTAGCCTGCATTTAGAGTATGCTATTTCTTTTAAAGACATTGCTTTCCTTTGTTTTCTAACTATTATTAATGTCTGAGTCACGATATGGCTCAGGGGATAGAACGTTCGCCATCCAATGGGGTAAAGCGGGTTCGAATTCCATCAATGGTAGACGGATTATGTGTTAGAGTCGTCTTGCCTTCATACTAATCGCAAGAGGTGTTCGTGGTTTACCTCTCCATGTAATGCAGATGCGGGTTAGTTCCAAGTAAAAGTATTCCATGAAGGCAAATTTTTCTCAATACTTCAGCCAGAAATTCCTTTGTCTTCTGAATTGGGTTCAAAATTTCAAGCTTGTATACGCTTATAGCTTGTATGTACTTTAATCTTTAGTTTGATGTCCTGTGGCAACATCGGTAAATGTAAATAAAACAAATGAGATGATCGAAGCTTTTTCGAAAGTTTTGTGCTTCAAAATGTGAAAAACTGTGGTGAAAAGTAATATTTAAATTCGATTTCATTTTAAAATATATAATTTAGTTCCAAATTATCATCTAATATAACCATGTTATTTGCATTTTGTTTTTTTAATTTTGAAATACAATCTGTTGCGTCCCATATATTGAATCGGCTTTTAATTGACGTTTTAATATTTTAACATTTTGGCTGAAATGGAGTGTTTCGACCTCTGTTTTCTAGAAACGTTAAACAAGAAGTAACCCTGGTCTTATCATTTCTCTAAGATACATGTTAATATTACCTACTGGTAGATTTCATACAATGTGACAACGAACACAACAAAATATTTTCTAACTACGAAAACAAACGTTTCTTTTTGTACTGCTCATGTTTAAATAAAAACAGAAATTGAAATGTGAAAAGCACTATTCTATCTGTGATTCATTTGTAAATTCTACTTCAAATTAATGACAGTGTTTACCTATACTTTAACCTTAGTGTCAACACGTTAATTCTGTTGAACAAATTGTATCGAAGACTTCTGCATCGGCAGATCAGACAAAAAGAAAAAATGGCTAAATTATGGTGACAACTAGGCAGTAGCATGCGAGGAAGACGAAAAAATATCACTTAAGGGGACCAAGTAGAAGGGTTTAACTCGCAACCATCTCCTGGCAAATCATTACAGATCTTTTTTTAAATTTATGTTAAAACAAAATCCCATTGGGGGTGGTAGTTGTCATAAACAGTTGACAATACTGGATTATCTCCAAATCATTTGCTTTTATTTACTTTTCATCTTATTGTTTTAAACATTTCCAATGTTTGAATTGTTCAACAAATTTGGATAAGATATATTTTTCTTTCATTGTAAGCTTTTGTTAACACTGTCCATAATGGAATTAGGAAAACAATATTAAGTAATCTTAGGTCTTTTTTTTTTTACCAAACTTTGCAATTTAATTTATTTATAATTTTTGTTGATTAAAGTGAAGTTGAAAATCCTTATGAGTATTCCTACTGCCTTTAAATGTCCTTAAATTTAAACGTTCTTTCAGGGGTCTTAAAAATATCATTTTCTTATGACTTTCAAGAGCCCTTACTTTAATTCTAGACACAGAAATTAAATTTTACAATTGCTCCCAATTACTAATCTTAGTATAATCAAATATTAACAATGATTCAAGTTTAATTAAAATAAGGGATGATGTAAGAAAATCGTCCTATTATTCATGATAATAATGCTTTATTAATTGTGTTAAGAGGTTCTTTTGTATTGTGATAATATATGATGTGGTATTAGGTTCCTAATGTAGTAATATTTCGGTATCTGTTAGGCATGGCAGTTAACAATCTTTACATTCTCTGTGGTTATTATATTCTGTTATTTCTGCGTTAAATTGATGTAATTAAACTGTTTTTTTTTTTATGCAAAAGTTTATTTAAACTTGTTTTTTCTCAAAATGTGATTTAACTTATACAAAATGTTTCCATGAAAAGTTCTGATGACTTAATTCATTTAAACTATTTTCATGTTAGTAATACTGTATTTATCTTTCAGATGACAACTAAAATAAAACGTAAAGTTACTGTTGAAAATAGCAAAGAGCTGGATGATCAGCCCAGAAGACCCAGTGTATTTGAAAGATTAGGCCCCGGGGCTGTAAATATTGCACCAATGCCTGCTGATGTAAGTGTGCTTACAAAAAATGTATGTACATATAGTACTCAGAAGTGGTACACTGCAAGTAATGAAACTACTGTAGTGGCTACTTTTTTATAATCAAGTGTAGTGAGTAATGCAATACAATAAACAGTAGTTTGTAGCAATTCCTGGCAACTACTTTTAACATTAGTTTAGTAAAGAAACAAGGTTATAATGCAGCTAATTTTTTGAATTTTATAAACACAAATCTTCACGAGGCTGTTACTAGACGCAATGAAAAGGTCTCTGCGACTGAGCATAAACAAGAAATAGATATCTAGAATCACATACATCTAATATTTAATAAACTAGCCAGTGTTCTACCTAAGTGTTTTTAGAAGGGCCGCACGTCCTAACTGCCCTTTACTCTCTATAAATGCACCCTCTTTGCCTTTTTTGTGAAAATAAGCCACCATCCCATAAAAACACTATTTTTTTACTCTTATTCCATTACAAAATATAAATAACTCATTGTGTAAATAATTATTACATACTGATAAAATTATCTGTGATTATGATTTTAATTTTTTTTAGTATTACAAATATTTATTTTGTTAGGATTATTCTCAACCAGGTAAACTTTTGTAAGTATCTCTTTTTTTTTCAAGAGGAGGGTACATTAATAAATTTTTAAGTGATTTTTAAAATTATTTAAATAAATACCTATCTTTAATGCACCTTTAAATGTTCCTTTTTTTATAATTATGTTTATAAAATTTAATTTCATTTTTTTATAATATTTTATTTTGAAAAGAATTTATGCTCAGAGATTTTGTCTTATTTTTCTCTTGTTTTCATAATGTGTGAGATTTACTTTTTGAAATTTATACATAAAATGGTATAAGAGGGTAATTTGAAGATTTTGAGGATCAAATTCAGTTATTACACAATATTATACAATTTGATAAATTTTTGCGGCGTTAAGTGAGTGCAGTTTTAAAATTCGAAATGCCTTTTCCTGTGAAGAAGCACTCTGCCATTTTTTATTCCTAAGGAGAACTCTGAACAAGCCATTACGAATAGATAATTTATCACTTTGGTTACATTGTCACATGCGAATGTACACTTGTGAAACTGTGATGTTATTTCTAAAAAGGGAACATGGTTTTTGATGTACTTAATTTCAAAGAGGAAATTAAAGAATATTGAACACTTAACAAAATTGCAAATGTTTGATAATTTCCTAGCTTTTCTTAAATTAAATATTCACCGTTTAAAATTAAATATTCACCGCATTAAAAGATAAAAGTTAATTGAACATGTTCGGGGAAAAAATTTTTTAAAATAACAAACTGATTAATGTAAATATGAATAAACAATTCTTCATGTTTAAAATAAGGCAGTTTTTTATTCAAAAACATTTTGAACATTTGTATAAATTAATTTTTCCAGCAAAGTTTTATAAGTAGTGAAGTAGTTACTGCGTTTCGAAAGTAGCGTGTAATCACTATATTTTAAAAAAAAGTGGTTGTTAATTAAATTTTTAACAAAGTAGATGCAGTTGTAGTAAACTACAAAAATGATGTAGTTTTTCCAATGACTATGTATGCATATATATATATATATATATATACAGAGAAACC